CTTCTTTTTCTAATATTGATATTTTATATTTAGTATAATTATTTGAAAATGTTTTTAATAGGAATTGAACTCTGTATTTTATCTTAAATTATTTAAAGAATAACAATTTTACCACTTTACTATATTACTATACTTCTTAATTATTAAATAGCAAATAATCATATATTATATATAAATTATTACTTGTTTTTTGAAATTTTATATATCTTCATAATATCGGCCTAAAGATATAAAGCCAATATTGTATAAGAGCCATGACAGATATTATGTAATATTCTGGAGATGTCAGCCAGATGTCTTACATTATACATATATTTAAGAAATACAAACTTTTTTATATTTTTATTAATAAAAATATAGAAATTTGATCATAAACTAAAATTTACTAATGAAATATGCTTTTGTGCTCTAAGTAAACTTGTTCAGAACCAAAAAATACATTATTAAGGCATAAATTTGCTTTATTTTTATTGATTTGTAAATAGAGATATGTAAAAATGCTTTTTTGATAAAAATTCACCAAATTTGCGCATCCTCACCTTATAAATTATATAAAGTAAAGAAACGTATACCATAATAATGTATTTCTGGTGCTGAACAAGTTTACTTAGAGCACAAAAGTATATTTTATTAGTAAAAATTTAGTTTATGATCAATTTTTATATTTTTATTAATAAAAATATATAAAATTGATCATAAACTAAATTTTTACTAATAAAATATGCTTTGTGCTCTAAGTAAACTTGTCCAGCACCAGAAAATACACTATTACAGCATACGTTTCTTTAGTTTACATAATTTATAAGGTGAAGATATGTAAATTTGGTAAATTTTATCAAAAAAGCATTTTTACATATCTCCATTTACAAATCAATAAAAATAAGGTAAACATATATAGTAATGATGTATTCTTTGGTGCTGAACAAGTTTCCTTAGAGCACAAAAGCATACTTTACTAGTAAAAATTTAGTTTATGATAGATTTTCTATATTTTTATTAATAAAAATATAGAAACTCTATCATAAACTAAATTTTTACTAATAAAATATGTATTTATACTCTATGGAAACTTGTTCAGCACCAAAAACTACATAATTACAGCATACGTTTGCTTTATTTTATTGATTTATAAATAGAGATATGTAAAAATGCTTTTTTGATAAAAATTTACCAAATTTACATATCGTCACTTTATAAATTATGTAAACTAAAGAAAATATACCATAATAATGTATTTTCTGGTGCTGAACAAGTTTACTTAGAGCACAAAAGCATATTTTATTAGTATAAATTAAGTTTATGATCAATTTTCTATATTTTTATTAATAAAAATATAGAAAATTAATCATAAACTAAAATTTTACTAATGAAATATACTTTTGTGCTCTAAGTAACTAAGATTTAATATTGTTAAGGAGGAGTTATTGCAAAGTGCATCTGCTAATGCTTTTCCTCCTTCAGATCTAATATTATTACCACCAAGGTTTAGTGTTGTTAAGGAGGAGTTCTTGCAAACTGTATCAGTTAATGCTTTTACTCCTTCAGACCCAAGTTTATTATAACTAAGATTTAACGTTGTTAAGGAGAAGTTTTTGTAAAGTGTATCAGCTAATGTTTTCTTCTGTCAGACCCAAGTTTATTATAACTAAGATTTAACGTTGTTAAGGAGAAGTTTTTGTAAAGTGCATTAGCTAATGCTTTTCCTCCTTCGGATCCAAGATTATTTCAAGAAATATCCAAAGAGATTAAGGAGGTGTTCTTGCAAAGTGCCTTTGTTAGCTCGTTTAAATATTTCAATTTACATTTATCACATGACAGATCCCAAGTTGAGGTGCTTTTTTGATCTTCAAGACTATGATAGCTTTTTTCGAGTATTTCCTCAAAATGTTCTAATGCTTTGAGAAATTTGCATTGTTTAAAACATTCTCGTGCTTCCTTTCTCAAATTTTTGAGAATATTATTATTCTGCTCTAAAGTATTCGAATTTATCATGTCAGGCAAATAAAGTGGAGATGAAGTCATAACTTCAAGTGAATTTTTGAATGTGTTTATATTGTCTTGGCCACTTAAGAGAATTTTGCAATTATCAGATAATTTTTCGATAGAATTATATTGACTCAAAGTTTCAACAGGAATAAGTTGCTTTAAAGTATTAAGAATTAATTTTGTTTCTGGGCGATTACTAGGATCGTTGTCCCAACATTTTTGGTAAAGTTCAATATATTGAGATGGTGTACCTCCTAAGAAAATGTGAATTGCAAGTGATTTTCTTGTTACATAAGATTGAAATAGTGGTCTTCTGCTTGAAATTTCCCAAAGAATTACACCAAAGCTATAAACATCAGATTTCTTATCACGCTTATATTTGTGATCAACAAGGCTCTTAGGTTCCATATATGCCGGCATCCCATGAACAATTGAGTTTGAAGTCATAGATATTTCATTTTTAATCTGCTTTGATAATCCAAAATCCGTAATCTTTAGTTGTTTTTGATGAATTAGGATGTTTTTCGAATGCTAAATTAATTAAAAATATAATGATTAAAGTATGTATTAATAAAGTACATATTAGTAAATTAATAACTAATAAATATAAGATCTATTAAATATAACATCTATTAAATATAATGTAGTACTTACCAGATCTCTATGAATAATATTATAATTATGCAAAAATAAGAGTCCGAGTGCTATTTCCTTGGCTATATATAGTTTATCTGTCCATTGCAATTTTGTATAATTTTTCATTAGGTATTCTCGTAAAGTTCCATCATCAGCATATTGTAAAATCATATTATAATATCCGTTGCTATCTATATATTCGATTTGATAAATTTATATTCGATTTGATGAAAATTTATCATTAATTGAAATATTGATAAATTTTAAAAATTATAAATTACTTGCTTACTTTTCGTGACTCCATGAAATGAAATAATGTTTGGATGACTAAAAATGCTTCATAATAGTTTAAGCTAATTATATGAATTATAAAAATTTAATATTCTAAAGTAGAATAATATTAAATTTAATATAACAAATGGTACCTCATTAATAAAATCTTTAATAGTCTTTTTATCTATGTTTGTATCAACTTTAAGACATTTTAGAGCAACCGATAATTCGTTGTCTCTCCACTCGTATTTAAGAACCTTTCCAAAACCTCCAATACCGATCTCAATAGGGTCTGTAAATTTATTATATTCAATATAATTAATATGCCTTTCGGAAATAGTTTTTTTAAGCCATTCTTCTGGTATGTTTGCCATGGCTTTTTTGTTTGTACTTATGTACATACATATGAGATTTCATCAACTATATAGTTTTTTTTACATATGTACTACATTCCACAGCATTTTAGTTACAGTATGCCTGATATAGAAATTTTTGTGTATTACAATGTCATCACTTCAAAATTATCTTGGCCATTACGAAATACGTACCACCACGAAAGGGTGGTAACTACCAAAAAATTCAGAACCAAAGGAAATGTTAGCAATCACCAGAAAGACTATGAACAAATAGAAGAAATAAAATTTTCTGGTACTTTGGGAAATTAAGTCACTTGCCTTGTGCAGTACGTACTGTACGTATATGTTTCCTCGGTGAGCATGAATAGAAATAATGGAAAATAATAAAAAAATGAAAATAATAAAATTATAGATAACAGATACCGACATCTTAGTATGAAGAACAAAAGCGAGATAAAGGTTTTCTTTGTTTTCTAATATACTTTATATGTACTATGTATACAAGTAAATCTTGATATAAGGATTAGGTTGGTGTTCCACATCAGGCCTACTGAAAATTAAATTGCAATTAAATTATTACACAATTAAATTTAATTGACATTGTTATAAACGACAATTGCAAAACAATT